CAGCATTTACGGGGTAACCTGAGGAACGGCTAGCCGATATTGGCAGTAAATCGCTAGGCTGAAAGCTCTAGTTTGAAGATGTTACCATTTTACTTGTTTTCATTGGGTCATTTCTTATTTTGGTTGTTTTCGCTTTTTTATTCATTTTTTTACTATATTGGATCTGTTTGAAGAATTTCTAATATGATAAATGATAGGAAACAACTGATAAAAATGACGAACTCGTTGGTGCTCCTTTTTTCGTGGGATCATGTGACAGTGACAAGTGGGTCTTGGCCATGCAGATAGGTAGACCAGCGAATCCTTGTTCTTTATACCGCTTTAGCTTCTGAAATCACGTACAGTATTATTAAAACTCTCCAGGATTTCTATATTAACACTGTAGTGCTGTTGGCTGCTTAATATTACATATACTTAGGTATATGTACAGCCTAGAAGGGGAGAAGGGGGCAAAAAAAAAGAGTCATTCACCCTGCACCTCAAATCGGGTAAGCAAATCAAATGTTCCCGCATGAATATTGAAGAGCACACTCTTATTTATCCAAAAACTTCACAACAGCCTTCTATACCGAGGCCTTTAGAATAATTTTCTACGGGACATGGTGTACGGTTCGAGCTCGGAGCTGCTCGACCGATAGTGGTCCATTAGGAAGAGATCGGAAAAGCTGGTCAGAAGAAGTCTTGCATATTTAGAGCTACGTCGGAGAGCTACACATTTAGAATCTTCAGAAAGCTGTCCACCAGTAAACCGATTGAAGAAATTATGTAGCAGCTTCAGGCTGGAGCGATTACGGTAGGCCTCCTTGAGCTCGACGGTGATGGCAGATGACGTCATATTCTGAAGACGGTGAGGGCAGTGAAGGAGGGCCTGCTTCTGCTTATGGAGGGACATTTAAAAATATTCTGCCATAAAAATTTCACCCCGTGGAGACGAAAAGTTTGCTGATGTGAGCAATGGGCAAAGTGACACTTTTCTGTCCACCCCTATATATCGCTTTCAGGAGTGTGAAGAGAGACCGTACCTCTTTAGCTTCAGGAGAGAACTCGATTCCATCTGCACCGTATATTTCACAGGCGATCCTCGCTATTTTTTCCTCCAGTGACATTTCCAAGGGATACAGGAACCTGGAAAGGAGCATTGCGGCATAATTTTAAAGGCGTAACCCAGGCAGATTTCGTGTGAGCGATTTCCTTCACTTTCTAAGATAGACCTCTAGAAAACAGTCTCAGATGTGGCGCTCCCGTGCATGGAAATCTCCGTGCAAGGGCGCTAGGGCACGCAAAGATTGCTTCGATAGCTTCACTTTACACGTCTGCAGCAGGCTGTTGTCTGGCGCTCTTTCGTCTCATACTCTCCGATCCGCGCTCAGCTCTCATTGCCTTAGCATAGCCGCAGACGAACGTGACCTAGCCCTTGACTTAGGCGTTTTCGCAAATTCGATTCTTTTTCTTCTGTTCTGGCGGTCCATGTCGCACAACACTTTCATATTCATGCGCAAGCACCACACCAGTTTGTTATGGGGTATGCCTTTGAACTCGAAGGTGCGCTTTTGACTCGAGTTTTTCGAGTAACGTCTACTTCTACAGTGGTAATCCAGAAATGTGGTGGTCTAAAATCGGGGACTACCCCATCGCGGTTTCTAGAATCGAATGTAGTTTGGAAAGGCTTAGTAACAAGCAGCGTCAGCGTACACACATATGTATTTAGATAGCCCAAGGATCAACACACATACGGA